AAACAGCTTTAATGACACATTAGTCACTGAACTAACAGATTCTTCAGGAGTGGCTGGGTTTCTTTATGATATGTAGACCCAGTAATGCAGTCTATTCTTCTAGCAAAACTTATGTTCAGGAATATGTTTTTCATGATGTTACAAACATGTTTGACAAAAGCGTCTTATGATATAACAACTGCACTGAACTATCATCGTTTGATATTGCGTGCAGATGCTAAACAAGCGTTTCCACCAGTGCTTCAAACCTAAACGAGGCTCATTCTTCTTCCGTCTTTCCACATCCCCATCATGTAACAGAACTGCTCTCTGTGTTTCATTTTTTTTCTTTTTTAAAGTCAGAACTCAATAGGGGGAATGGCAGAAGAATGGAGGGAAAGAAAAACTGAGGGAGGTGAGGAGGAGGGTTGTGAAAATTGCCGTTGGCTGCCACCCAGGGCCCAGTCTTTGTGGTAATGAAGGGTTAGAAGCAGCGTTATTGCTCCCAGATGCCGTGCGGGTTCTCCGCAGCCCTTTGATGCATGGCCCAAGTCACCAGACTCTCGTCAACATACACTCTGCCACACACACATACACACACACGAAGACATGCAGCCTCTTAAAACAACATGGATGCCATTAACGACTATCTTCTTGGTTTTGCCCACCAAACAACTCGGATTTGTTTTAAAGTGTTAATTGGATATGGTTTATGTAAGGTCCATGTGTGTGTGTGTGTGTCTGGTGTTTAGTATTTCCGTGTGTGTGTGTGTGTGTGTGTGTGTGTGTGTGTGAGGCCATATTTCATCCACATTTTGAATTTGTGTTTGAGTCCATGAGACGTTTCTTTGGAAGGCGTGCAGAGTGCTAAAGTGTCTTTATGAATTCAGAAGTGAACTTCCTCTGGCTTCTCATAATTAGCCTGCGATTACTCACTAGCAAAACAAAACCATGGAAAGTACTTTGCACACACACAGGGCTCCAAACGCTGCAAGGTAAACTACCAAGTGCACTGCCTCATCTCCTGCATTAGTGTGTGTGTGTGTGAGAGAGAGAATAAAAGTTGCATGTGTCGGAGCTCTGACAAAATGGTCGGAGAAAGAATGTGTTCAATTATTTGCAAAAACAATGGATTTCAGATTCATTAGTCAGAATTACTGTGGTAATATTGTTTTCTAAAATTGAAGCACTTAGCATGGCAACTGCTAAAGGTTTCAAACCATAAACTGTATATAAAGATGGACGACATGACGGCTTTCCAAGAGTGAAGCACTCAAGCGGCTGCCTGCAGTATAGGTCATAAACCCCACCCCCTCCATGTTAGTAAATGGGACATGAGCCAAACTAAAAGGTCAAAGTTGTTAAATGATTTTTTCTCAAAGACGGATCCTGTCATTTCCTTTTTGATGCTATATAATGGGGGTCAAACATCATGATTGACAGCTGATCGCAATTGGTCGTGTGTGTATCGGCAGGAACTCAATACCTCCCCCATCACTACTGCACAGATTCTGGCTCCAAATGCGCAAGATGGCAGCGTTCAGACCTGGAATATTTCAGCTTCTTTTCTGGGTGTGGGGAGGAAGAGGACACGCGTCGTCCATCTTTATAAATGTTTCAAACCCGGTGTCACAGGTTAAATGGTGGAAGTAGCTCTGCCAGGTTTTATACATCTGCCCCTGTGAAGGGATTTCTATCCCAGTACAGGGTTCATAGTTTGTTGTGGTGTTGGACCGTACTCCGTTATGAGGCAATTCTTATATATGACACTTTCACCAATGTCAACAAAAACAATGATGAATATTGTAACAATAGTTTATGTCCAAAGCTGTGGAGTTGCATTAGACAATATATGTGAATCTAATCAAATGACCCATACATTTATATATTGTTTTTTATACAGTCAGTACATGTGATTAGTATAAATTGTGTGTGTTTGTTTGTATAGAATCACAATCTCATCATTCTAACAATTATGACCTCATCAGGACACTGAACTACTTAAGTCAAATTTATTTGAAGGTTCCTTCCCTCAGATGTTACGTCAAAATCAACGCAAAAGCTAGAATCAAAATGCAAAATAAGAAAACACATAAAATTCAGCGGTGGTGCAAACAGATTACACAGCTCTTCTCCAAACAGACGTGTCTTTAGCTGCCTCTTAAAGGAATCCACAGAATCAGCAGACCTGAAGGGTGCGGGCAAAACATTCCTCAGCCCCAAAAGCTCAGATCAACACGGGTCTTTAAGTGGGTGCGTGGGACAGACCGTAAATTTAGTTTATTTGACCAAGAGAGCGAGCTGATGAGTGAGGGTCGGCCGTATACAGTATGAAAATGTACTGGGTGTAGTGATGAAATGAAAACTTTGAACTGGATCCTTTGTGTAACGTGGAGTCGGTGAAGAGATATGAGAGTAGGGGTAACGTGAGACCATCTACTTGACCCATGTCATGTAACAGCTTTCTGAGTTGTGAGTAGAGGATCATGGTCAGTCCTACTGAGCTTTGAGAAAAGTGTGTTCGCTGTGACATTGCTCAGGGGACCAAGGTGCAGAAATAGCCTGAAGAACTGTTCAATCAGTACAGGAAACGGTTAAAGACAAAAAAAGGTGCGTGCCATATAGATGTCTGGAAGTGTTAATAACTTAATAATGTAATTACATGGTGCATATTCCTAAATGCATCCCAAATACATGAGTTATCTCCACCATCAATGTTATGTTTTCACCCATCTGCTCGGTCTTAACAGGCCTATAGATTATACACATACACTCACAGACATATGTACATTCATTCAAAGTCGGCATATGTGCGAATGATCATGCACACAGAGTTTTGTGTTATGCTTACGCTGTTTCCATGGTGATTAACATAAACAGAACGGAAGTCTCTCGAGAAACCTTATTGTGGTTTAGCTGTTTGTATCTTTCCTCTTCACGGACGTTGGGTCTCAATCGAATGAAATGCTGCAGACAGTTTGTGTACTTTTCTATACATCTCATATAAGCTTGTCTTCCATGTGTATCTTTGCGTCCGTAGGATTTTGTTTTCTCATGTGTCCCCGTGTGTGTGTGTCTGTGCTCAGTGTCTGGGATCTGTTCTCTTGCCTGCTCATGCTGACTGGCTTTTATGTGAGCATATGGGAAAGAGCTCAATCCCCGAATTCCCCAAACACGTAAAACAAAAAACGCACACATGCGAAGATGGGCTGATTGACAGAGAGGAAAAGCCTGATAATCTGTCTGATGTGTGTGTCAGACGTCTCATGGATGAAATAATATTCATCATCGCTTTCTTATCTGTTGTTTGTCTTTCTGGTTTTGTCTGTGCACCGAACACAATTGTTTAATCCATTCTCACATGGAAATATTGCCTTTGCCAGCGTTTATACAGTGTGATAATGTAATATAGTAACTTAAGCTAGATTTGTCATGTACTTATCTCTCTGCCACTTCTTTAGAAGTTCAGTGTCTCTGTGCTTTCCCCACATTATGCACACACTCACACACGAGTCTCTCCCCCCCCTCCATCTCTCCTGACTGGATTTACTGGCCAGAGGAGAGGAAAATGTATGAATCAGTCCAAGGTTGCTCACTCCCAGGGAGAGGGAAAGCCAGAGAGTGAGGGGAACAAGGGGAAAGAGGAGAGGGGGGAAAAAAAGATGAGGAGAGGGAGAAATGGAGGAAGGCAAATATTGAGAAATATTGAGGAGACTAGAAGCAGAATACGTTACCCTCACGGCCGCTATGAATGTTGATGTCAGCAGTCTGGCTGACTGCTTGTTTGGTTTTTCAGGGTTTTTTTGGTGAATCAGACACCTGGGAGTAGAGGCACTGCCAAATGTGTCTGTGTGTTTGTGTTTGTGTGTGTGTGTGTGTGTGTGCGTGTGAGAGAGTGAGCAAGAGAGAGAGAGTTTTTACATGCATTTAGGGGATATGGCCATTTGGCTGCATGGGTCATAAATCCTTTGATGAAGGAGTTTGGTCTCACACACACACACACACACACACACACACACCATCTCTCTCTTTGACACACATGCTGGGTTGGGCAGGGCAGGCCCATGGTTAGCCATCCAGATGGTTTTAAGGTTAGTTAGAGACTATGCTCAAAGGTGCACCCAAAGCAGTGTGTGTGTGTGTGTGTGTGTGTGTGTGTGTGTGTGTGTGTGTGTGAGAGTGTGCATGTGTGCGCGTGTGTGTGTAAAAGCTATGTTTGTGGAAACTCGCTCACCCTGTGCTATTTTTGGCTGCTCACTTCTGTGAATTCAAATTTCACCGTCGATAATAAAACGTTCACACACACATTGACCCTCATTAAAGACACACCAATAGACTTTGAGGATTAATGGCAACGTGTGTGTGTGTAAGAGAGTGAGTGAGTAAGTGAGTGAGTGAGTGCCCTCATGTAGATGACTAACTTTGAGTTTCGTCGATTCATAAATACTTGGATGTCTGGAGATCATATGTAGTACAAGATTTTTCTACACTGGAAGGCTCTCTCTCCCTCTCTCTTTCTCCCTCTCTCTTGCTCTCTCTCTCTCTCCGTTCGTGTGTGTTTCTCATTTGTTGCTCGCCCTCTTTTTTTCACATCTCTAATCAAAACCACAGACTCTGTACAGGACGACTTCCATTGCTCTCTCCTGCCTCTTTCTTCTCCTTTTTTTGTCTCCTGTAAAATCTAATTGTGAGTGTTTACCCCTGGTTTTCTTTCATCTTCCCTTCTTTTTCAATGTAGTTTCTGTCATTGATTATCATTGTTCCAGCAGAATCTTAGTCTCACATACAGTACGTCAAGAGGTAAATTGATCAGCCCACACTGATCTGAACGCAGCGTCATTTTCAGTGGCTTTTTAATCTATTTTAGTCTCATTCACACAACGTCAGGGCAACTGCTATAAATCTCCGAGTTCGTTTTTACTTAAGAGTCAAATTCTCACAGATGAGGTAACTCACTCTCTCTGCTCTCTCTCGACCTCATGCACTATGTAAGGATTGTGTTTCTCTTTCGCCCCCTGCAGGAGAAAGAGAAGAAGTACATGCTGCAGGTGGACAACCTAAGGCTGCGCGATGTGGAGAAAGGCTTCATGTCCAGCAAGCACATCTTTGCCCTCTTCAACACCGAGCAGAGGTGCTTTTAAATATGAGCACACACATATCATCAATATGTTTATGCACAGTGAAAAACCTGAACTCATAATTAAGAGTTGTCTGTGTTAGATAGCAAAATAAAGTGATTCAGTGATAAAATTCAGGACAATAAGTATAAATATACCATAATATAATAAAATG